CTTCTGTGATCCTTTCTATCCCCTCTTTGGTCATAAACTATTCCTCTATTCATAGATCTCAGATAATTTCTTCCTTGTACCTTTAAATTGGTTTTGATATATGACCTTATGTATTTAGGTCAGGTATTCATTTGGTGCTTACCTTGGTGCATGGTGATAGATTTTAGTCTAAACCTAACTTCTACTAGATTTCTGTCTAGTTTTTTCCAGTAGTTTTGGTCAGATAATGAATCCTTATCCTGGTAGTTGGGGGTCTGAATTTATCTGACTGGTTTGCTTCAGTATGTTCTGTACCTGATCTGTTCCATTGATGAACCTTTCTGTTTTTTAAGCAGTTCCAAATCATTTTGGTGATTATTGCTTTGTAATATAGTTTGAAATCTGAAAAGCTGAAACTTTTCCCATTATTTCCCTTAAGATTCTTGACCTTTTGTTCCTTTAGATGAATTTCATTATTATTTTTTCTAGTTCTGTAAAGTAATCCTATGGTTTAGCATGACACCAAATAAGTAAATTAATTTAGGTAATAATTTTGGTGTTTTTATTATATTTGTATGGTTTATTAACTGATTAAATGAAAGAATATTTATAAAGCACTTACAGTAGTTCCTGGCATATAGTAGGCACTGTGTAAATTAGGCCTACACAACCTATGTCCTGCCAAAGGATTTCGGGTGGCCCTTGAAAAATGTAGAGGATGTAAAAGAAAGTAAAGATGTAACGAGTGCTTTGTCCATGCCCCGATTAACCTGCCTTCCACTAATCACTATTGTGCTTGTCATGTAACTTAGGGGGCGAGTTGCCACTGTTCACTCTCTCCTGTTTGTCGCGTGATCCGCAGCAACCAACCATCATCGATCAGTCTGTTTCTAGTCTGAGAGGAGCAAGAGTCTTCTCGCTGTGTTTTTTGGTCATTAGGGGAGTTGAACAGGGACAAAGTGAGTGCAGCCACTTGCCAATGCAGCTGACACTGTGCAATGAGCAGCAACAACGCACGGGCTACCCCTCCCTTGCTGCGCAGCTGCTCTCCAAGTTACATGAGTGTCTGGTGCTCTCTCCAAGGTCAAACACTCAGTTTAGTGCTTCTTTGTATGTGAGCTGTTGCTGTGGAGATTTTTTGGTTCTAATGTTACAGTTTTTGGGGTGACTTTGTAAAATGGGTGATAAAAAGAAATGGAAGATCGAATCAGAACATAGAATGTTTAATCTGAAGTAGACAAATAGATACTTGTTTACTTACATGAGACACAAAATAGTGTACCTTGTTTGCTACAAAGTAATAGCCCTTCTGAAGGGTTACAATCTTCATTGCCATTTCAAATCGAAACATCCTGACTTAAGCAAATTGGACACCAATGAAAAACAAATTAAAGCATCCAGATTATTGAAAAATCTCTGTGGGGAATGATGGTTTTTCAAGAAAGTAAACTCAGGAAATGAGGCGGCTACTGAGATTAGTTTTCAGATTTCTAAAGAAATCAATTTCAAATATGATTCCAGAGTATGATAAACTGATTGCTGACAAGAAGTCTAATACGCCCCATTAACTAAATGGAAACAGTAAGAAAATCTGAAAAAAAAATGTATTAAAACTTGTACCACTTAGCAAAGTAATTTTTTTTAACATTAATGTGATTTCATGATAAAAATCTTAAGTAATAAGTGTAATTAATTGATATGAATTGAAATTTCCCTTTTTTAAAATATAGTTTATTTGCAAAATAGTTTAGTCATTAATTATACCTTTACTTGGAAAGTGAGCCATTAAAAACCTATGTGTGGCCTGAAGAAATTTAGCTTATTTTAATTTTGGCCCCTACAGAATGCCAGCTTGTGCAGGTCTGATGTAAATGCTTGTTCTCCTCACTCTTCTCTGGTTTTCTAAAAAGCAATTAATATTTTTCTAATTATTCTGATCTGTATTTTTGTAAATGGTGCTTGGTAGTTGTACTCATATAGTTCCTATGTGTATCTTGGTTAGGTAGGTTTTCAAGTGTTTTATACATTCTCCTGAATGTATGTTCACTTCATTCCTCTTTGGGCTTTGCTCCTGACTCTCCGAACCTTCCCTCCCCTGCCCTTTATTTTCCTTTTATGTTTTGTCTTTTTGCATTAGAATGTAAGCTCCATGATGTCAGGGACTGACTTTTTGCTTGTATTTGTATTCCTGTGCTTTCATAGTTCCCGGCGAATAGTAAGTGCTTAATAAATGCTTGTTGACATGACTAACTGAACTCTTCGGTTTTGACTGCTTGCAGTATTTTTCCTTTGACCTAGAAGCTCTGAATTTTGGCTCTAATGTTCCTGGGAGTTTTCATTTTGGGATTTTTTTCTTCAGAAGGTTATCAGTGGATTTTTTTAAAATTTTAATTTTTTATAATTTTACCAAACATTTATTTTCTTTCTCCCTGGCAGGGAGGAAAAAAAACACACCACAATCTTCATAACAAATATGCAGAATCAAGTAAAAACAAAGTTCATTATTACCCATTTCCAAAAATGTGTCTTATTCTGCATATTTTCTCCACCTCCCTTCTGTCAACATGTAGGTGGCATTCTTTATCATTAGTACTTGAGAATTATGTTGATTATTGTTTTGATTGTTGGGTTCTTTTATTTTCACTTTGTCCCCTTGTTGTACTAGGTCTGGGTAGTTTTGTCCATAATTTCTTGAAATGCAATGTCCAAGGGTTTTTGTTTATTTTTGGTCATGGTTTTCATGTAAATCAGTGGTCTTAATAATCTCTCTCATCTCCTTGATCTGTTTTCTAGGCCATTTTTGATGAGGTATCTTGTATTTCCTTCTTTTTTCAGACTTTTGGCATTTATATTTCCTATAGAATCTTATTTTTTATTTTTTGCGAGGCAGTTGGCATTAAGTGACTTGTCCAGAGTCACACAGCTAGTAAGTGTTATGTGACTGAGGCCGGATTTGAACTCAGGTCCTCCTGACTCCAGGGCTGGTGCTCTATCCTCTGCACCACCTAGCTGCGCCTTATTGAATCTTTATGTTCTGTTAGGTCTGTTCTAAATTTCAAGGCATGTTACTTGGGTAAGATTTTGTACCTCTCAATTGAATGAATGAATAAAACATTTATCAAGCACTTAGTATGTGCAAAGTACTGTGCTAAGCAGTGGGGATACAAGTAGAAAAATTAAGATAGTGCCTGTTCTTAAGGGGCTCTTATGCTAGTCGGAGAGACAACACATGGGTGGTTTCAGCTACAAGTCAGATGGAAAGGTCCCATGGTCCTCAGCAGCAAAGTAGATGGCAGTTCATCATTTTTAATATAATTTCCACTGATAAAATCATATTAATTACTGATATTGAACTATTTGACAGTGGCAAGAATTTTATTTTCTGACTTCAATAGCTGTTGCTATGGCCCCTGGTGGAGTAGTTGCAAGGCTGCATCTCCACAGGGGTTGCTTCCTAGGATCATGACAGAGGGCACTGAGCTGGAAATCTTGCTTTTCTCAGAGCTCTTGGGTTCAGGTTCCTTCCTGGATTGTCTTCATCAGAGTTTTGAGGGGAGATGGTGGTCAAGGTGATGGTGGTGGTTTGACTTGCCTGGCACATGCTGCTTCTTGAACTAAGCTGTTAATTCTTCTTCTGACTCTTTACTTCATAATTTTCATTTCTTTTCCAATATTTCTTCTGTGACATTTATTTCATTTATATCTTTTTTTTTTTAACCTGATTCATTTCTTCTAGGATTTTGAATTTGCCTTTTGGCCAACCTTGGATTTTTTGTTGTGTGTATTTTTTTCTCTGCTTTGCACGTAGGCATTTTGGAGTTATTCTCCTCTTCTGAGTTTGTGCCTTAGATGTCCCTTGAACTATATAATAGCTCATTATTTTGGGAATTTTTTTAGTGTATTCCAGTACATCCCAGATTGGGACTTTGTGTTAGGGTGAGTAACTTCTGGAGGAAATGTCATGACCTTATATGGTCCTTGTTTGTATTGCTTGGAGTCTTGCTGCTGTGTCCTCTTTGTATTTATTTCTGTCTTTTTTAAGGATCACAAGGGCAGATTGAGTCAGGGAGCTGTAAACTTTCAGTAGTCCCTAAGTGGTCTGATCTAGGGCACTGTCTGATCCCTGCCCATCTGGATTTTATAGGCTCCCAGTCTCTGGTTCTAGGCAAAATAACTGCAGACTTGCCTTTGGGTAGAGCTTCAATGGACAGTTACTGGCCACAGCCCTGGTCATCTAGCTAGAAGCCTTTCCAGGTTCAGACAAATAGAACTATAGGTCTAGCCTTTGTCTGATCCCTGGGAGCTTGAATCTACACACCTGCTTAGAGGTCAGAGGTTAATGACTTCTCCCTGCTCTGGACCCCGGCAGGTGGAATCTGTGATGCTTCTCTGTGGTCAGAGAGAGCCCGGGGATCCCTCATTGAATCAGAGTAACAGAGCTTATGGGCCTCTTCTACAGTTCCTCCTCTGGTTACCTGCCTTTATGATCTTAGGCTAGAAAAATTGCCCACTATGGTTTCTCCTTCAGTTTCCTGATCACATCTTACTTGGGCTGGTGCTTGTCTTTGTGGGAATAGTTATGGGGAAAGCTGGGCTAGACTGCTGCTTCCTACTCTGCTATTTTTACTGGTCTTTCTGAGTATATTTTCTAATGCTGCCAAGAGGAATGAAGAACAAAAGGGGAGAGACATCTTCCCCCTCTTTCTCTCTCTACTCCTCTTAGTGTAAGCACACCCAGGAGGAAACAGATAAAGCAGTGAGAGCTAAAGACACACAGACACAGACAGACACACAGACACACAGACACACACACACACACGAGATAAGGGCTATCACCTTTCCTAAGTAAATTTTTACTGGTTTTTCCAAGATAAAAGACTAAATATAGCCTCTACATATTATATTCCAAACAATTAAGGCTACAAATTTAAAGTGTATATAGTAAAGATATACTAAATTTGATCTATAATACCTTTTCTTGCTATTTTCAGTAATGCAAAATTTATACTTTTTTTAAAAAGGTATTTGATTTACGCCAGTGCCATCGTCAGATGCAACAACAGGCTGCCACTGCACAAGCTGCAGCAGCTGCTCAGGCCGCAGCAGTAGCAGGAAATATCCCTGGACCAGGATCAGTAGGTGGAATAGCCCCTGCTATCAGTAAGTATCCTTTTGATTTGCCCTTTAAAAAAAAAAAAGGCTAATGCTTAGTATTCTGTCCTCATAAACTCAGCCTGTAAATTACTTTTAAGTCATGAATACCTTTCTTATTGGGATTATAGTACTTAAGGAAAGTAACATGAATTTGTTTACAAATCTTTTATACGGTAACTGAATTTTTCCTTAATTTCTAGAGTGAGAGTGGGGTCAAAGCAGTAAAGGTTACAGTGCTATCATGTTGACCTTTTTTTACTCCCTTCTTCCTACCAAACCAGGCCAGAGGCTCTATTAGGGTGGGCTCCAGTTTTTTACTTTAGCAGGAAAGTGGAACCTGATTTCAGAATCAGGCACCTCTCAGGGTTTTTGTTAAATTATTCTAAGCATGGAGATAAAACTGAGTGAGGGTGGTATTTGATAACGTGTAGAACTTTTTTTTAATTTTAGGGTAAAATTGAACTGTGTGCCAGGTTTCACACTGATGGGGAATTTTTTACTGCAGAGTTAAACTGCTGACTATAGACTTTTATGATGGAAACACGTGGCACCATCTTCCACGTCTGAAGGCATAACTAGTGATTCATTCAACCCCTGTTCTTAACTTCTTCAGTGTGGTAAGCAAATCACACTGGCTAAGAAAACTGCAGTGGCCCTGCAGGTTTCTCTACAGTACATGCAAATTCTTCCCATTAGTTTCACTGTTATATTGATGGGTTCAGATTGATTTTATATGTTCTGACTTGAAAATGAGATAGAAAATAATCTCCATTGTAGCTTTAGTTTAAAATTCAGTGTTAGCTAGCATTTAATTTTTAATGATGACATCTTGACTTTTTTAATTCCTCAGGCATCAAAACCATCAATGTAATTGTTGATGACATAAAATATTTTCACCAGAGATCTCAAAAGTGTTACCGACATCCTCATTCTCATCCCAACACCCCCATTAAATAACATAGTAACACTTTCTCTACTTTGTTTACTGGGAAATTGAGGCACAGAAGTTATCTCAGGTCAAAGAAATCTTAGTGAAAACAGAAATAGAAACAATCTCTTTACTCCCCATATTTTATTTCAAACTAGGCTATGTTATGATAGATGTAGACACTAAGGTTCTTGTAACCAACCCATTATCTATATACTACTATGGCCTAAATGTGAGTTATCTCTTATACCTTTACCTCCACTTCTAAAGACAAAGTTAGGTGGAGTGTTTCTAGATTGTGGTCATTTGATATTTTATATTGGTAGACACACTTGTGAGCAGCAAGCCACCTCAGCCCAAAGTGTTTTCAGACCTTTTTTGTCAAGTCAAGGTCTCCCGTTGTTTCTTGGCACTTTGGCAAAGAGATTGTATGCTGAGGAGATACTGAAGAAAAACTGGTCATTTTACTTACCTTGGAATGTGGGGAGGAGGGGGGATGTCTACCTGTCCATCTGACATACTCCCTTCTCTCCTGTTAGGTCTGTCAGCGGCTGCTGGGATTGGCGTGGATGACCTGCGCCGCTTATGCATACTCAGGATGAGTTTTGTAAAAGGCTGGGGCCCTGACTACCCAAGGCAAAGCATCAAAGAAACACCTTGCTGGATTGAGATTCATTTACATCGTGCCCTCCAACTCCTAGATGAAGTACTCCATACCATGCCTATTGCAGACCCACAGCCATTAGACTGAGGTCTCTGTGCTGTGGCCATGTGTCAGGATGTTGAACTGTAAAATACAATCCTGTTTATAACCTGAAGATATATTTTACTTTTGTTCTGCTTAATCTTTTCATAAAAGGTTGGAAAATGTGTTTGCTGCCTTGCTCCTAGCAGACAGAAACTGGAGTTTAAAAATTTCCCCCCATTAAGAGACTTGTTCAGGTATGAGGCATGACTCAGAGCTTGAAATAGGGGAAAACAATTCAGATGAAGTCCTCACTAGCTATATATGAAGGAATCATTCCAGTGCTGGAAAATGTAACCCTTGGCACATACTAGAGCCTTTTGTGTGCAAAACCTATATACATAATCTATAATGTTATTCTACAGAATAAATTCAACATTGCTAATGTTTAAATGCAGAGGAAGTTCTCAAAGGTAATTCACCTCTATCTCATTCTGTATGTGAGTGGTTACTATTAAGCATATATCTTAATCAAAAATACTGTGCCATGTGGGTGAGTTAATATTATTAAGAGCAACTTGACTCTGCATTTAAGGAGATTTGGTCACAAAAATTTCAGTGTAACCTTTTCCCAAAATAATTTCTTTGAAACTTGAACAAGTGAAGACAAAATTTTAATTCATATTGTAGCTTGCAGCTTCAATTTTACATTTGCCAAGGCTGATATGTATGTACATATTTGAAAATTCCTTATCACTAGACAAAGACTTGTTTTAAATTACATTTTGCTCTCTGTCTGATAACTGTGATTAACAAAAGGTATTTCTCTGCCCTGTTGAAGAATGGTAGCTATATTCTTCTTAAATTTCTGGGCATTGGGTCTGGTTACTAAAAAAAAGCCTGGGATAGGAATTGCTTTCCTTCATTAATTCATAGGGAAAACTTTTGTATTTTTAAAACACTAAAAGGAGTATTATCACTCCACTTAAATGTCACACTGTTCTGCAAAGCTGATGATGCTTAAACTAAATAATGAATAACTAGTATTTTGGAAACTGCTAAAATCTGTGTTAAAATACTGTGCAGAATAATGGAAACGTTACAATTGTTCATAATGGGTAGTTTAACTATTTTTGTACTTGATTTGATGTGTGATTTTTCGTATACAGTTTAAATCATGTATGTTATGACATTGTTTGAAATTCAGTTTTTGTATCTTGGGGCAAGACTGCAAACTTGTTTTTTATACCTTTTGGTTATTCTAAGCCCTATGCCATCAATGACCATATCAATTGGCAGTGACTTTGTATAGAGAATTTAAGTAGAAAAAGTTGCAATTGTATTGACTGTACAACAGACACAATATGTATGCTTTTTATCTAGCTAGTAGTATAAATAAAACTCTCAAAATCTCAGTATACAAAATTGGAATCTAGGTTTGCTTTTAAAAAAATTTTTTTTGCACTCGAGGCCATTAACTCAATGGTAAATCATTTTTCTACTAAATGACAGGCAAAAACTACAGTAGTAAGCAAGCAACCGTGGTTGTTAATACTTTATACAAGACTTCTTCACTGTTCATTATGTCTAATGTGTAGAAGTTCAAGATTTTCTGTGAACTTTTTGCAGTAGCAGAAATAGGCCTGGCTGTCTACAAGATAAATAATGTGAAATAAAATATAGTATCACTCACAGATTTCATTAGGTCCATTTGTTTTACTTTTTTGTTTAAGCAGCCCCTATAAACTTAACAAACAAAAGCAGGCTATAAGCAGATTGTTTCAGATTGACTTAGAAATCTCAGAGAGGTGCAGAGCGCTTGTGTCTTTAGAAACCTCTTGAAATGGCAACATCTCTTACTTTAGGCTTATCTCTCTCCTTGAATCTCCTTATTAACAAACAACACACTGGTAAGCTTGTGGATGTTAACATAAGCCTGTGAGCTACACACCTTAAAAATGAAATAACAATAGACATTATGCAGTATGATATAATAAGCACCTACTCTCTGCATGGTATTTTTAAAAACTTATGCAGCATTGAAATTCTGCTTCTAAGAGTGCTTTCAAATCCTTCTATAAAGGAAGATGCTACTTTTAGGTTCTACTTCATGCCTAGGAAGAATTTAGTGCCTATTAATAATCTCAGATTAAAGACTCTAGGTTCAATCTTACGGTAATTTTAAGAATTAAGAATATAGAAAACTGATTTTTCAAATAGCTTTGGGAAGTAGATAGTCTTGCCTAAGGCCTTTTCTGTGTTGCCATTATATCCACTGCCTTAATTTCTACTTCTTGGGCTTTCATAATTATTTTGGGGGGATGAGGTAGGTAGTGGAGGTACAGCAACTCTTCCAGACTTGTAATTTCCTTGTGGGGTACTTATCATTGGTATTTATTAGAACTTCTTATTATGTTATTGATAGATTATAGGCTTCTTAAAAGCAGGGACTGTTTTTCCCTTTTGTCAATATCCCCAGTGCTTAACACACCCCTGGCACACAGTAGGTACTTAATAAGTGCTTGTTGAGCGGTAAACCAGTTTCACCCTTCCTGGGGGCCAGAGTTAACTTCTCAGTAGACCCACTAGATATTTGCCAACTTTAGATGGTGGATTTGTTCCTAGTTTTGTTTTTTTTTCATTAAACACTGCAGGGAGTTTGGAGAATAATGAACTTACTGAATTGCAGCAAATTATAATGGAAGCAATAAAAAGAAACATCAGTTTCAGCTCTTTTTGTGATTAAGGAGCTTTTTTGGGTGGTCTAAAATATACTAGGTAATACTCAGGGCTGAGAAAACTAATGTTTTTCTTTTTTCTTCTCCTTTTGCTCTACCCTAAGATTTTGAACTTGCTACAGATACTGTGTCTATAATCTCTTAAACTGTAGTTTGAAAGATTACAGTGAGTAGGCAATGAGACTTTTCTCCTGGCTTCATTATTCTCTGACAGCTAGGGTATGTCTTTTTTTCCAGGATGGTATTGATAAGAAAACTATAGCCACAGCTTGTGTCACTTAAGAACAGAGTCCTCTGATACCCAGATTTGTCGCTGGTGTGTTCATAATTCAATACTTAAAGATCTGTTTTCATCAGTGTGTGTTCCCTGCCCTCATGTGGTTTGTAACCCCTCTGTATCTTAGTGGTAAATTTTTGTTGCTGGAAAAATTCATGACCTGGTAGAAAACCGAGTGGTGATAAGACCCCCAATTTCACTTAGGCTGCTGCTTTTCCATCGGGACATTTGGTCCACAGCAGGGTGGGTATATCTGTCCTGCCAGAGTATGTGCTTCATTGATATAGCCCTAAAGAATCCAGGGTTAATTCCACACCGTGATGAGGTATCAGAGGAGGATTTAGTGGAAGATTTTGTGGAGTTTTATAAGCACTACATTAAAAATTTTTTTTTTAGACATTTAGAAGGGAACTCTTTCTGAAACATATTAAACATTTCCTGACTCCCTAAATGGAAGGTGTGCAACATAATTTAACCTTTTCTTAATGGCTTAGGTTCAACTTTACAAATATGCATTATTACATAAGGCTGCAATAGAGTGAGGCTGTCATGAGTAGGTGAAGCTGTTTGCTTCTGTACTATCCCAAAATATAGTGGGGTTTTTGAGATATTAAGCCCGTTTTTTTTTTTTTTGTTTTTTTTTTTTTTAGGCAATTGAGGTTAAGTGACTTGCCCAGGCTCACACAGCTAGTACACGTCAAGTGTTTGGTCTGAGACTGGATTTGAACTCAGGTCCTCCTGACTTCAGGGCTGGTGCTCCTGCGCCACCTAGCTGTCCCTTAAGCCCATTTTATTTTGAAGAACTTTGCTGCTTCTACTTCAAGGTGATACTGCTTAGATGAAGACTGATAAGTAAGTGGACACAGCTAAACCTGCTAGAGACATGGAAAATTGAACACTAAGCGGCCAGAGGAACCATTAAAGGCTTTAAATGGGAGGGGTTGGGGTGTGTCTGTCTGTCTGTCTGTCTGATCAAGCCCTCCCTGTCTTTTATTCTCTGTCAGCTCACCATGTAAGAAGCAGAGGTTTGTCTCTGTTCCAAATGTGTACCAGCATACCCTGATGCCTCTTCTTTCTTCTCCCTCCCTCTCTCCCTTCCACCCCCCAACATTAACATTGGTCTTTCCAGGAAAAGAAGACCAATGATAATGTGCTGTTTTGGGGAGAGACATTAGGGTGTGCCAAGGCAGACTGAGTGCATTCCTATGGTGAGATGTAAGACCAACCGGTGAAATGCAGACACTTCAAACTTCACTTATGGAAGCATGTCTTCTTCTGTCAGGTCCAGTTTTATATTTAGCTTGAATTTCACAGAGGCAGTATAGTGCATGGTGGAAAGAGCCTGGGGGTTGGGGGTGAGGAGGAGTCAATAAACCAGAAGTTCAGGAAGGGTTCGACCAGGAACCGTGAGACAAGGGCAAATCATTTTCCCTCTCTGGGCCTCAGTTTTATCATCTATCAAAGCGACTTGGGGCTCATTAGCTAAAGCCCCCTCTTGGCTATAACCCATGGTCCTCAGTGGCATTATATCTCTCAGCAACTTTCAGGTTTCTTTCTCATTTTTTTTTTTTGGAGGGGGAGGCTTTTTTCTTTTGCTAGGCAATGGGGTTGTGACTTGCCCAGGGTCACACAGCCAGTGAGTGTCATGTGTCTGAGGCCAAATTTGAACTCAGGTCTTCCTGACTCCAGGGCTGGTACTCTATCCACTTCGCCACCTAGCTGCCCTTTCTTTCTCATTCTTCCTCTACTGTTTGGTTATTTCAGTGGCATTCAGATGTGATTAGCCTTAACTATTTCTTTACTCCTCACTCAAGAAGCATTCATTAAGTGCCTACTATATGCCATGCTAGGTACTGGGAATACAAAGAAAGGCAAAAGATGGTCCTTCAAAGAACTCATAGTCTAATGGAAGCAGTATGAAGCTTTGTGGTGTCTCTTTTTAATACTTTACTTCAACTACATGCCTAACACAGTGTGGTGTGTGGGCATATGTATGTGTAAGAAGTAACAGCCAAGAAGAGGTTTCTACTACATCTTTATACATCTTTATATTTTTGTACTGTAATTGTTCCATCGCCTGGAGGAAAAGAGCAGTCCTGAATTTTTTTTAAGATACTATATACTCTCTTTTGTTGGTTTTATGATGCTTTCCCCTAAAAATGCAGTGACAAGGATTTTTAACAAATTAAATTACATTTTAGTATGTTTTGATATTTTTTATGTCAGTGACATCTATCCAGGGGTTCTGACTAAGATGGCTATGTACTAGGCCCTAGAGAAGCCCAGATCGTCCTCTCCTACCCCCCAAACAGACTAAAAGTGCACCAGAGGGAACAAAGAAAGGAAGCCAAAGAGAAACAATTATAATCTCCATTGAGTCCAGGACTGAACAAAAAAACCTGGAGAGGATCTGAACAAGAGAAGCCAGGATAGACAGCAGGTGCAGAACATAAGCAGCCCAATCCCACCATTGGAGGCCAGCTGCAAAGCATCCCTGCCCAAGCAATAGCAGGAGACAAGTCCATTCCAGAATCCAAGAAGCCCATGCCTGAGTCACATCAGGAGAGGGGGCTGTCAGCACCTAGGAAGCAAAGCACTTAAGTGTTTTGATTTGTTTTAAGGAACCCTGCTATCAATGTAATTGGTAACATCTGTTTGGACCCTATCAGGATCACAGAAAGGGATGGAGCCAACTCTGGATATAGGACTGTAAAAGGGAGATAGAGAGAAAAGGCTGAGGCCATAACCTAAGCCAGCTTACCAGAAAACTGTCAAAACTCAGGAATGCCTTCAGAGGTTAGGGCCTAGTTTTAGTAACCTTATTCAGGAAGGCCAGGAAAAACCATCCGAAGATTTAGGAAAGAGCAGGGTCTGACTTAAACATACTCCCAATCAAGAAACAAATCTGGAGATAAGAGTAAATAGAAAATGCTGAATGCAATATAGATTGAGAAAAGTCCAAGGGATGAAGCCAGAAGAAGACACTTAACTCCATAAATCCAAGTAGAGTATCAAAGCAAAGAATGACCTGGACATGTGGACTACAAGTACCTGGGAGAAATGGACCAAGAGATTGTTTTAAATGTAATGTTAAATGAAATAAAAGCTAAGAAAGATGGAATGGGAAGGAGAATAGATTAGGACAGTTCTAAATCACAAAATGGACTTCTTGAAAATTAGAATAGGCCAAACTAAAGAATGATTTCATGAGTTAAGAAATATTAAAGCAAAATCAATGGATTGAAAAGGTAGAAAAATATGTAGTCTGCTACCAAAAAAAAAACCTTAGAAAACATATCTAAGAAACATGTTTACCTAAAAATCATAACAAAAGAAATTCTACATGCCATATTTCAGGAAATTATAAGTGAAAACTGCTCAGATCCATTAGAACTAGATGGCAAAGTGAACATGTGAAGAATCTCCTCATCCTGAAAGAAATCCTAAAATTAAAATTCCTAGGAACATCATAGCCAGAGTCAGGAGCTTCCAGTTTGAAGGAAAAAAATATTCCAAGGATGGAGAAAGAAAATTAAGGCACCAAGAAACCAGTTAATATGTAAGCCTTGGGAACTACCGATTAAAAGGAGATCTCGGAATAACATTCCAAAAGACAAAATATAAAGGCTTACAACCAAGAATAACTTACCTAGAAAAACTGAGTATAATCCTACAGGGGAAAAA